TTGTTCACAGAGCCTCCAACAATCCTCTGAGGCCTTGGCAGAATGATTGCGTTCATGCCGGGATTGAAAAATACACAAAAATAATCTAGTAACTACATAGGTAAGGTTTTGAAGGTTGTCGGCTGCCCTGGTTTTCCTTTAGGAATAAACAAGCATTAAAAACTGTATAAATAAATAAAAAAAACATAAAAAATGGAATAAACAAGCATAGTTGTATAAATATTCACATCATATTTGGACAGTTTAATCTGACAGTGTCATTTTCCTTCTACTCCATAAGCTAGAGTTTTTGCTCATCTTTTGGCCCAAAGAAACCGTAACACAAACCTTAACCCCTAAAAAGGTAACGTTTAATCAGCACCAGTGCATCTCACTTAACATAGCGCATAGCCATCTGGTTAGGTTAGCACAAATGCTATCTGTTGACAACCACTTGACAGGACGACCCCTGTTTTTTATAAGAGGATAGTGAAGGCTGAGAACAAACACTGAAAATGCTTAAAGGGAGGAGAGGGTATCAGAAAAAGCCAGAGTTCAAACACATTGTGCATGAGTCACCCCCCCCAACCAAAACTAATCTCATCAGTCTTCCACCGCCGATAGGGTAAACGTCCGTCTGTCCCGCAGACGAGCACTGAGCATTTCCTGTCCTGCTCTGTGATGTCCGCTGTCTGGATCTTAGATTCTAGAGTTAGAAACAGTCAGTAGGTGGTAACAGCGCTTTGTGGGTGGCGGGGGTCATGGTGCTGATGGTAGGATGGTTTCTAGCTTTCAGCACATGCAGTTGGAATGCACTATCAGAGGAGGACCCTCATCAGAGCTGTGAGGCTCTGGGCGTCGACACAGCAGAGTAAGGTGTGTGAAAACAGGCTGTTTACAAGGCTCATCTGGATAGGATGGAGCAAAGGGTCACATAGAGGGGACGGCTTAGCAAAAAAAGGAGCAACATGGAAAAAATAGAACACAGAGATGGGACCGTACGCAGCCTCTGGAAAATTTGAATTTTGACCAACAAAAAACAGCTCAAAGTGATGAAGTGAAATGAAAATGATAAATGGCCCAAGTGCCAATGATCCAACACTGCTGTTTGTTTTCAACCTCTTGCCTCTAAAGAAACCTATAAAAAAAAAATCAGTTTTTAAAAGAAAAGACATAAAAGTTTACAAGTCATATAGAAAAGACAGGAAACATGTGCAAGAAGCTCTTTAAACTGGGCTTGTTGCTACATGGAAAATGTATATGATGCAAATATCCACCTGAAACACACCATCCCCAAACGCAAAACATTGTGGTGACATCATCATGCCATGGGGATTCTTTAATGTTGCAAAAGAAGCTGGTGATAAAGGTTGGTAAGATGAATATCATCATGAGCATCATCCCACTAAATACATAGCGAGTTAGCAGCTACTTATCAACTGTGACTCCAAATTGGCTTCTTGACATAAATATATTAGCCAAACTCTTTATATACACTACTTTATGAAGCCTTGACCCAAAAAACGGTTTACTAAAAGAACAGTCATATTGGTTGTTACATGTGGATCTGTCTTTAGTTAAATTAACAAACATTTTTTTAGTCCAAGGAAGGGTTGGGTTATGCTTGGCGCATGTTCAGACCGCACTGAAGATGTCTGTCACAACATCTGCAGCTTTTATACTCAGACAGAGGGGGTATCTATGGGCTAAATTACATGATCACTAGATGTTTCCCTCGCTGGTAGGAGTATGGAGCTAGATCAGTCTTAATTTTCACAAATACACATATGCGATTCATACATGCACAGAACGATTCACACAAGATCCACACGTGGACAGAACAAGATTCACCAAAGCATTTATGGTTCATAAACAATTATAAATTAAATTTGAAGGTACCAGTGGTCTTTAACTTCACTGCATTTGTTTATGGATTTTTGAGACTGCCCTGACGTGCCTCGATACACAAATGCATTTTTTTAAACAGGGATAGTTTGCAACCAATCACAAAGCTATAAGCCAATCACAAAAAAGTACTCCACGTAGGAGGACCCCCAGATCCCACATCCTTCGTATCCGCACCGCTCTGCCTAGCTCACGTATTTTGTGCTGAGCACTTGTATACTCATTTTAATCGATAAGAGTAGTTCGACATCCACCGTAACTCCTTCGAACGTCACTGTCCATGTACATCTTCTCCGTCCTTCACCTTCAAAATAAGAAGCCGACCTATTTCTAGCTCCACTCCGAGCATAATTCTTATATATATTCCCAACAACTAAGACCCTTTATTTAAATTATTGGTACTTCAACATAACAGGAAGCAGATTTCTCATCTCCAATCAAAATATTTTACACCGGGAGGCTTAAAAGTTTAATCAAATCAAATCCTTCCAGGAGCTCCTCTCACAACTTCAAAAGAAAATTCTTATTGCAGGCTTGGGTGAAGAGATGCTGAGTTTGGAGATAGAGAACAAACCAATTTTGTATTATTATTGTATTATTACAAAGATCCACAATGAAAAGAAAATGTTTGGGCAGAATTATGTGTGATTGATGCTGATGGTGAGATTTAACAATGTCATATTAGATGAAGCGTCTATTACTGCATGTTTTTCTCATATGAATTAAATAATCATATAGAGCATGCTCTCCTCGAGCTCCAAGGAAGTGGGAGCGGAGGAAGACGGGAGGAGCTGTGGAGACTGTAGGCTCTGCTTTGCGCAGACGGTCTGGAATGGACTTTGGCAGAGAAGAGGATGTGGGATCTAGGGGTAATTCATCTCACGTGAAGCACTGTCTTGTGATTGGCTTACCATCCCTGCTTAAAAAATACATTTGTGCATCAATGGTCGTCAGGGCAGTTTAAAGAAATCCACACACAAATGCAGTGAAGTTTAAAGACCACAGATTTTTCGTAATTTCATTTATAATTTTTACGGAGAAGAAATACTTTGGTGAATCGTGTTCTGTGCATGTGTGGATCTTGTGTGCTTGCGTGAATTGTGCTTTGCGTATGTGGATCCTGTACTGTTTGTGTGTGGATTTTTTTGCACTTATGTAAATCGTTTTGTGCATGTGTGGATCTTGTCCTGTACATTTATGAATCACATATGTGTATTTGTGAAAATTGAGACCGATCTAACTACATATAGGACCTGTTGTTTTATTCGCCATGTTTTTCTGCAACAATCTTTCTGTGTGGTTACAAATTTTGTGGTACATGTATTTGAAAGGCCCAGTCAGATCCAGACCTCAATCCAACTGAGAACTTTTGTACAACTAATGTCCACAAACACTTTAGTTACTAAATATGCCCACAAAGAGGGTAGAGGGTGAGTGAGAAAATGAACAGCTAAAATAATACTGTGGGGCATGCATGGGGCCCTTCCTTATCTAAATGAATGGCCAGCACTCTAATCCCTTTGCTTTCTGGTTTTATCAGCAGGGAAGGAAGTGAGTGGTCCTATCTGAGACATACGTGTGGCTGTGATAGCTGCCAGGCCTGAGCGCCACGAAACACACGGCGACCACGCCTAGGAATTCACACTAAGCTCTTCAGAAGGAACCTTTGATAAATCAACCTGGAACTGATGGGATTTTTTTCTGATGATGATGTAATACGATGATCACAGATGAATGTGTGTGAACTAAACAGAATTACTCACTACAGGATGAACTGGGCTGCGTGTTTTGTTTCTTCTTAAGCACTCAATTATTTTTTTTTAAATAAAAATTGCGTCAGTTATTGGGAACTGAATGCCTAAAAGAATACTCACATTCTGGGTTTTGACTATTGTTGCCTCAAGTAATGTGTTTACTTGAGGCAAACCAGAGCAAAACAAACTTAAAATTTCAAAGCACCAGTACTTAGATTAATTCTTTTTTGGTTGTGCGTCATGATGCTTAGGAATTGGGGTATTCACATCAGAGTTCAGGCCAATTTATTTCAGTGCATTCTTGTGTTCTGGTTATCATTGTTGTTATCATTGTCACACTGTTCTCTTGTGTTTTCTTCATATATTTTTTTCATATTTTTGTCCTCAGTTTATGATTTTAAACATTAAATTGTCAATATACGATATATAATACACAGTAACAAGATTCTGAACATGTTTTTAAAAGAAAAGTCTGGTTGGACAATTGGAAAGGTAAGGTAACTCATTTATTTTTCACTTTTACCCAAAGTATTACAACATCCAAATGCAATGCACGTCAGTTTAACTATAGCTCTAATAATTTTCAATGGTGAAGTCCTCACAAAATCTTAAATAATTGTTGTTGATTGCAGATGTTTCTAGTAGCTCCCATTGACTTTGCCTGTAAAGTGGGGAGAATGGCACTAGGCTTATCGTACCTTGACGTCACTGCTGGAAGATGTCATGAGTGAGATGTTACTATATTTGGGCAAAAATGGCCGCTCCAAGACTCAGTGATCCTGACGAAAAATTGTTTAAATTTTTTTACTGATTACACTGACTTCATTAAATCACGGCGAACATATTAGTTTAAGTATAGATAGTGACCCATTGGTTATTCCTTCCTGACCGGTCTTTTCCTTTAATGCCAGCAATACAATTTAAGATAGGATCTAAACCAATCGATTTTTGAAATTTGAATCAATACTCAGCGTTACTAACAAGCAATATCGTCATGATTTTATTTGCTTTAACTATAAAGTATACAAAGGAAAATGGAAACCTTTCACATTTTTTTACATTTTAGGCCTATTTTTGATCAACCGATTTCTATTCATCAATCCATAGAAAGATCTACTCTAGATAATGAATCAGCAGATTTTTTTTACAGGGTTCTTATATTATAAGGAGTCCATGCAACCTTTCCATGTGCCAATCCTAGAAAATTTCTGTCTTTCCCACATGGAATTTGACTGTTTCCTGGTCGGACACTTATATTTGTGAATGATGTTCTACGTCAATACTTAGACAGGGCTGTTTACCTTTCTAAACCTTTGCTTAGAGAAAAGAGTCGGGGATAAAAATTGAGGTACACGGTCTTACCTGTCTCTCCATGTCTGCCTCTGCTGGTGCCTGTCTGTCAGAGCAGACAGCAGCGTTTCTGCCATCTCTCGCCTTCCTTCCTCCTCTTGGCCTTCCTCCTCCACTGTAGCCAGGAAAAGCATGGTCTGAGAATAAAAAGACATAAGAAAATAAATGATTAAGCAGTCTCATAATGAGCAGCAGTCTCAAAGTAAAACAAAGGACACATAAATAAGGTCTTACATCCAATAAAAAAAGGAGCTATCTGTGTTTAATTAATATCACCCAGGATGATTAAATGCATGGAATTAGGTAGAAAGACAACCTGAAGTGATTGGAAGAACCCTTGAGCTTCTATTCTCAGAGTAGAATTACACAGCTTGAAGCTGAGACTCAATTATAACATCCTCGGGACGCCAGCATACAGTAAGTCTAGTATAAAGTCAGTTTCACATCAGAGGATGGGCAAATTACACCCAATATTAGAGTGTGAGTCAATTAATCGCGTCCTGCACAGCGCGGTGTAATGTGTGAGTATCCCCCTGTTGAACATGAATTACAGGCCAGCTTAGAGTATGACGTGGCACATCACTGCTAATCAGAGACATCCTGGCAAACCTTCGCCTCTGAGTCTTCCGCAGCCTCTAAGCTGGTAGAGAGGGAGTCAAACGAAAAAGGATCTGGCAGCCCAAATTAAATGCAGCGCTGTCAGCTGCAGTCAAATCCCTCTTCCTCTTTACCCGTCACACATTTTCTCCCTCTCTGAATATCCTTAAATGCCTCCCCCCTCAGCAGAACCTCTGAGAAGTGATGGATCTGTAACTGTGACTGACTCTGACGCCTTGTTAAGAACAGTCTCTTCCTGTCACATCCACCAGTCAAGCATGTTCATTTCTTCCCATTAACCATGACTCCCCTTCCCAGTCATCCAACCTACCTTTCAAAAAAACTACAATATGAGAGAACCTTCATTTCTTTCTCGTCACCTTTTTTTAATCCTTTTCTGACAATCTACCTGTCTGTCTTAATTCATGTGACTATGGCTTTGATTGTCTGCGTGCGTGTTTCCAAAGGAGACGGGTAATATGCTTACTTCCCTGTGCACCCCGCAGGACAGGTGTCAAAACACGTAGCGGTGTGTGAATGATTACACCCGACTCGGAGGAGACACCAAAGATTACAGTGACCAGGAGGAGGCAGGGCCGGCTGTACTCCCTCTGCAAACTGTGTTGTTCGCTTTGGATCAAACTCTGTCCTCCTAGGATGAGTGACGTGCTGAGAAAGTACCGCAAAGTGCATTCAGACTGTATCACAGCCCCAGCTGGTAGACATCAAATTTCCGTGCTGCCTTTGTAACGCCCCATCAGCGTTTACCTTGGAACGCGGCGGAGCAGAGCAGAGTGATTCGCTGTTGATATGAAACCTGCTCTGTTGTGATTCAGAGCATGTTTCAACTCATTTCAAAGTTAACTTACCAACAAGATGTATGAAAAGAAAAGGAAGGATTAGAAAAAATACAGCAGGTAGAAGGTGGGGTATAGGATTTCTATAAAAACAGCGGCAAGGGATGGTTCCAACCAAGGTTCTGTCATGATCCAGTATAAAGATAAAATGTCACTTCTTCAATAACTGACTGTGTGTACACTTCTGAACAGTGCTGAAAAAAAGTTTTACTACCCTCAACTTTTTTCTATATTGCTACCAAAGATTAACAGAGTTTCCGAAAATCATTAAAAATCATTAAAAGTCACGAACTTATTTTTTGAATTAAGGCCTTAATTGGCATTAAAATGCATTAAATGTGATTATTGTGGCATTTATAATGCTTTAAAAAAAAGTTTATAAAAACAATTTTGTCAGATATATTATATTGCGATATATTTGCGCAGAATTGCTGCTGGTTGATCGTAAAGCCATACAGTATGTTCGGAAGAGAAGCTCAAGGCGGAGAAAAATCTAGAGAATGGGGAAAATGCAAATTTCAATGAATTTTGCTGAAAAAAAAGCAATTCGTGACATGGCTGCAGCCTGTTGACGGTTACTTTTTAATGGCATTAAAATGATTTCTAAGAGCATTAAAAAGCATTAAATTAGAGTTACTCATTCCTGTATAAACTCTGATTAAGATCTGCTGTTGATCTCAGGATCTGCAGGAATCCGCTGTCATTCAATTATTTGATGTCCATCCATTTGTCAGAACACCCCGGATGATTTATTTTAATAACTTTAAAAATAATCAAAAAGATTCCTATTTTTCAGGAATTTAACTCAGTCTCTTATATCTAACAGTTTGTTGAGTCTTTGGAAATGTTGATATTTATAGCTGACAGCTAATGCTAAAAATTAAATGTCCAAGAAGCAGTCACATCCCAAAAAAGTGCTTCAGCCAAACATTTTGATTAAAAAAAATGAGTAAAAGGAAAAAGGGCTAAAGGCACCAACAACAACAGCTCTAGGCTTGAGAGTATTTTGTAGCCACAAATGAATTGGGAATCTCCGGGAAAAATAAAAAAATATTTTGTACTCCCTATATTAACCTCCTCCTGCAAAAGATGTAACTGCTGTCAATGGTCTAAAGTTTTCGTTTTAGATGGAAGTAATTTTGCCTATTGTTTGGGAATCAAAGCATAGGAGCCTTCAAGACGAATAATCCATTATGCTTGAGATCCTTTGTGAAATTTCTAGCATCAAAGAAGTGTTAGGGAGCCATGTTGTCTGCTGGTTTAAGGTCAAAGCAATTGTCTGCTGTTAACGGAGAAGACAGTCGTTGAGTAAAGGAGGCTTTTTAGGCCTGGATGACAATGGATCATAAGGCAGTTAAGTGACCAAACAAAAAAAACTAATATATTCCCTTTTAAATAATCAAGAACTGCAAAGAAAATCATATAAATATTTCATTCTATGCAAACTATCTCGTTGATCACTTTAGACTACAGCGAAGAACTACATGCCAATGCTATTTTTCTAGTTTTTTTTCCCCTTATATCTCATTGCTTTTTTTTTTGTATCTGATTCTGTCTGGTTGTTTGCAGCAGAGCGCCCTCTCACTGAAACCTTGTGCATGTGTGGCTGCATGGCCAATCATGTGCACATATGATCTTCTGTTTAAAGCAGAGTGCTGAGAGAGGCCTTCAGGTTTAGCCCCAGGCTGATCCCCAGGCCATTCAGGAACCCCACTGCTTGTTTACTGGTCAAGCTCGGCTTTTGCCAGACCTCAGTCCTTTATCGTTTGGCTTATGTTAGCACAAATCAGCCCCTTTTTTACTTCTATTTACCCCTCGATGACAGTAGCTGTCCTCACGGTTCACCTCTATGAGCCCAGTGCTGACCACAGATGTCCCACTGACCCTGGCCACGTCCTGAGGTGAAACAGAGGACACGGGGAACCTGCGTACATCTCTTTCTGCTTCCCAGACCCCCAAATTCAGCTCAGTCTATTTTACAACACGATCGGCATAAACATTTCCGTCCCTCCGCAGAGGCAGGATAGGTAAACAAACACACAGGCAAGCTAAGGTGGTGTTTTCGTTCGTGGAGAGAGCTAGAGTGATGATAGCGTTCCAAGTGGAGGCTGGCTGGAGGGCAGCCTGGGGCAGCTCACTAACACCTCGAGTCAGGACTGTATCTTAACACCAACAAGCATCTGTCTATTCGATCACATTTCTATCCTATAACAATGTGTCACTCATTCAACACGGAATAACACAATGGGAAGATTGTTGCTGCACACAGTGCAACATGATGTAAAGCTTCACAGAATAGCTGTCTCTGATTACACAATGGCCAAGTACCTTTGAAGGTATTGATGTTTGGAAAAAGATTCCTGCAGCACTAAAAGTTAGCACTCCACAAAACTTAGGTCCTCTCTGACTATCAGAATGTTTTAAAAACTTATCAACACCCGACTGAATGCTTAAGATGATGCCATGTGAGACCAAAGGTACCAGAGGAGATTTTTTAGGCCAGAATTGACCAACATAATAACAGATGAGTAACTAAAAATGAGGTAAACACTAAAAAAATCCAGGGTTTTGGATTTCATACAATGTTGCATCCAGAGAACGTTTGTGTATCTAAAGCTGCAGTTCTACACATGTATTCCACTGCAACTTCAGAAAGACGCAGCCAAAGAGGATTCCAGAAAATTTTGGGGGGGCGGCCTAGTGGTTAGGGCATAGGGCTTTGAATCCTGAGGTTGTGAGTTTGATCCCCCACTACCACAGACTGCCACTCTGGGTCCCTGAGCAAGACTTGCTCCCTGGGCGCCACACAATGGCAGCTCAGGGCTCGTTAAGGGGATGGGTTAAATGCAGAGAAGTAATTTCCCTCTGGGATTATAGAAAATCAAAAAAAATAAATAAATAAAACTGCTGCCATTTTTTACCTCAAACATTTATGGACGCAAAGACTGTTTTAGGTCATGCCAGATTTTGGCCAAAAGATATTCCAATGTTTTTTTTTTTTTTCTATTCAAAAGGAGGGCATGTTAGCAAACTTTAGATATTAGCCTTGCTGCTTCAGTTTCAGTTTAAGTCACAAACTGACGGCAATCTGTTCTTATTTACGAGAGGGAAGAACAATTACAGTTCCATTATACCTAGTATGCCACGCACCTGCAAACTCAACATGATGTTGTTTTAAGAAATGGTGATTGTTGTTGGACTTATCCAACTCTTGGATAAATATCTATACATCTATTTAAGCATCTTAATTTACTTTAAAATCATTGTTTCATCCGTCCAATTAAATTCAGTTTATCTATATAGAGCCAAATCACAACAAATCATCTCTGAGGAATATCAACCAGATCATCCAGTCAGATTGGTTCAAAGTTTTCTATTTAAGGAAAACCAGCTGACTGCATCGACTCATTGACTCGACAGCAATCCCTCACACCAAGCCGGCTTGTAGCGACAGTGGAGAGGAAAACCCCCTTTTAACAGGAAGAAACCTCAAGCAGAACCAGGCTCAGTGTGAGCAGCTATCTGCTGAGGCCGACTGGGGTTCAACGAGACAGAAGCAGACAAACAGAAAAAAGCGGAGATACAAAAGGTAACTGTCATCCTGCTTCACAGGTGGCCTCGTCCAGGTGGATGAGCTCCAAGCCAATTCTGCTAGTCACAGTAAAATAAACAGAACTACACTG